ATGTTTTCAATACACTTTCTACGTGTAATAAGTTAATTTACTTTTATTATTAAATCGCGTACACAATATGGCTCTAAAATCATACTAAAATTTAAAATCTTAGAAGCTAAATAAATTTAATTATTTAATTTATTTTCAATATGCCCCTAACGTGGACGTCAAGTTTTTTTTTTTTAATCAAATGCAAAAAACGTATATAATTCTTTATAAATGAGTGACGGTAAGAAAATAGTACAATCGAGTTCATCACCAGTGGACAATTAATTTAAATACGAAATCACTAGAGACTGTGTCTTGCTGTCTTATAATAATGATTGTATAATGCAACTACTTTGGGGACTCCCCATTAGATGAGAAAGAAACAATGTTAGGGCAAGAAACCTATTTTTTTGAGACGTGGATAAAGAAAGTAGGTTACGGTCTTAAATAAAAAATTAAAGTAGTTCAACAACATAGACGGCTAGTGATTGCATATTTCAAACGTTAGCAATTAATTTGGTTTATATAATTAATTACGAATCAAAATCGACTAAAAAGAGAAAAAAAAAATGAAATGGAAATATAACGCTATATGTATAATCGATTGTTAACCTTGTGGTTTCATCTTAAACGATTTTAATCATCTTGCATGAGGAGCTGAGTCGGAGAAGGGATCGTGAGTATTCTTCTTTACGTAGAGGCTTAAATAACGAACTTGAAAGTGTTGATGAAGAGAAGGGACATAGAATCCGACCTCCAACAAATGAATACAGATGAAAAGAACACGACGCGAAATAACCTTTAGACTAAACATTCTATGATTAACGTTTCCTTCACAAAAAAGAGTGTTGATAATTAACATATGATTTTTGTTGCAATGGATTTTTAGGTGACATCATTTAAATGTGGTGGTTTTGCAATGGGCATATCTACCAATCATGTCATGTTTGATGGGATAAGCTTCAAAAATTTCTTAGAAAACCTTGCTTCCCAAGCTTTTGATGACAAACCCATGGCTATCGTCCCGTTCAATGACCGTCGCCTCCTTGCCGCCAGATCTCCGCCCCTCGTCACATTCCCCCACCCCGAATTGCTCAAGCTCGAGCTTCCGATCAGCGAAGACTCAATCCCTTCAGTGTTTGATTCTCAACAGGAGCATCTTGATTTCAAAATCTTTAACCTAAACTCTGATAACATAAGTTACTTGAAGGAGAAGGCAAAGATCAATGGTCCCAATGAAATCAAAAAGATCACCAGCTTCAATGTAGTCACAGCCCTTATCTGGCGGTGCAAGGCCTTGTCATCAGGTAATAATAGTGAAAGGTTATCTACTGTGCTTTATGCAGTTGATATTAGGTCAAGATTGAAGCCACCATTGCCATTTTCCTACTGCGGGAACGCGGTACTAAGTGCTTACGCGTCGTCAATCTGCTCAAAACTCGAGGATGAGCCCTTCTCGAAGATCGTGGACATGGTATCTGAGGGGGCTGGCAGAATCACTGATGAATATGCAAGATCTGTAATAGATTGGGGAGAGATCTATAAAGGGTTTCCCAATGGTGAGTTTCTGATATCTTCTTGGTGGAAATTAGGGTTATCTGAAGTGGAGTATCCATGGGGGAAACCGAGGTACAGTTCTCCAGTGGTGTGCCACAGAAAAGACATCATTTTATTGTTTCCTGACATTAGTAATAATGGATCAAACAACAAAAATGGGAATGGAGTTAATATCTTAGTTGCATTGTCTCCTAAGGAGATGGAGAAATTCCAAACCCTCTTTCACAAGTTCTTGGCATCAGAATAATTAATTAATTGATAAATATCATCTACAAAGGGTATGAGAATATGGATGCATATATCATATATGATTACAAATTGTTATATATGAAAGTAGAATTTTATAAGCCATTGGACTTAATAATTTGGAGTGATAATGTAATGATGGTGCATCAATGCTTTGATTCGTGAATTTGAAGCAAATGCATTATGTTGTATCCAATAATGTATATCTAATTAGAATTATGCGTTAGCATATGGTTTGTTGATTTTTTGCTTTTTTCTTTCTAAGCAAATCCTTGGTGCTACTATACTTTAATTTCTTTCTAGTCTGTGGTACATCATTTAAAAATGAATAATGATATCTAGCACGAGTTGTGCTATAACACCGGTCTACATGACTATACTTTATAAGCTCATTTATATGAGTTATAAAACTTTGCATTCAAATGAATTTATTATTTAATATTATGTAGTTGCACTTTGATACGTACTTAACACCAATGGTGATAAATAGCATTACTTGTAAAAATATGGTTTTGCATTTATTTGGTGAATTTCTGCTACAAATAACCCATATAAATCAAAGTTTCAATTAAAAAATGTAGGAGATATTACACCGATAATGTGCATATTATATTCATCAAGAACATGCCGTTAATATGCTTGAAATCGAAATATCATTCGACTTACCGAAATCTGATTTGAAAAGACAAAATAGTGATTACCAACTTCCAATA